GATCACCGCACCCTCTCCTCTCCCGGCGGCTTCTGCTCAAGAGGGGCCGCCTGATCCAGGCCCCGAGGAGCCGGGGGAAACACCGGTGCAGCCACTCTTTCCAGGCTTCACTTTTTCCTTTTGAGTCGGGGTCCCACTGGGTCGCCCAGACTGCAGCGCAGCGGCCGCTCCCGGCCCCCGCAGCCTCGACCCGCCGGGCTCCGGCCACCCTTCCGCCTCGGCCTTCCAAGGAGCCCGAACGACAGGCGGGCGCTGCCACGCCCGGCTCAGTTTTTGCATTTATCGTAGAGACAGGTCTCGCCAAGTCGCCGCGCTGGTCTCGACCCCGCGAACTCGGGCAATCCACTCGCCTCGGCTTCCCAAAGTGCCGGGATGACAGGCTGAGCCACCGAGCCCGGCCCAGACCTCATTTCTGAGCGCCACGCGCAGGCCTTCAACCCGACCACTTAACAAAAACGCGCCCCTGCAAGGAGGAGCCCCCGAAACAGCCAGAGCGTGAATCTTGCTGGAAGCCGGGAACCCGTCCACGGCACTGACCTTCCGAAGATGCAGAGGAACAAAGCCATTTGGCCATACCCGACAGATACCACAACCGCACTCATAAAGGACAAAACAGTAAAAAAATGAAAAGAGCTCAAGCCCCCAAATAGCAAACTAATTTTTAAGAGAGAGAGAGAGAGAAAGAGAGAGACAGCAAAGCATCAGCAGCCTGGAATGAGAAGAAATCAGTGCAAGAACGCAGCAACACACACACACAAAGAGAATGTTTTGCTGCCCCTACACGACTGAACTAGCTCCCAAGCAAAGAATCATATACAGAACGAATAATCTGCAATGACAGAGACTTCGGAATATGAATGGCAAGGAAACTCCTCCATATCCAAGAGAAAGTGGACCCCCAAATCAGAGAGGTCATGAAAACTGACCAAGAATTAAAAATTGATATGATCGTTCTACAAAAGAACCACACTGACCTCACTCCAGGAATTTCAAGACCCGACTGCAAGCCTTAAATACAGACTTGACCAAGTCGAGGAAAGAATTTCAGAGCTTGAAGACGAATCCCTATAAACAACCCAGTCAGATAAAAGGAGAGAAGAACAAATTTCAGAAAAACGAACAAAGTCTTTGAGAGGTATAGGATCATGTAAAGAAACCATATCATATCTGAACGACATTCCTGAGAGAGGAGAAGAAAACGGGAGCTCTCTGGAGAAAGTAGTGGCAGACAAAAACCATGAAAACCCCACCCATCTAGATAGAAAGGCCAACACGCAGACACAAGAAATCCAGAGAACGCCTATAAGATAATATATGAGATGACCATCCCCAAGACACATAGTCACTAGATTAACCAAAGTGAGCATGAAAGAAAAAAAAAATCTTAAGGGCAGCTAGAGAGAAGGGACAGAACACCTACCAAGGGAGACTCATCAGAGTAACCGCAGACATCTTAGCAGAAACCTTACAAGTCAGAAGAGATTCCCAAGAATTTCTTACCCTTTCAAATTAAGCTTCAAAATAAAGGAGAAATAAAATCTTTTTCAGACAGGTAGGCACTAAAGAAATTCATTGCCTCTAGACTAGCCCTACAAGAGATGCCTAAGGGAGTTCTAAACATGAAAACACAAGGACACTACACAATACAAAAATACAAGTAAGCACACAGCTCCTAGACTCTAAATTGCCCACAAAAGCGAGAGCAGAAGCACTTCCTCAGCAACGCTGTAACAGGAACAAACTCTCACCTATCTGCCGTAACCCCGAGCATTTATGATGTCAGTGTCCCACTTAAAAGACATATGGAGGCAAACTGGATTATAAAAATAAGACCCATCTTCCTACTGTCTCCAGGAGATCCAACTCACCTCTAATAACACCGATAGGCTCAAGGTAAATGGATGGAGAAAGGTTTACTAGGGAAATGGAAAATAAAAAAGAGTAGGGGTAGCTATTCTTATATCAGATAAAACAGATATTAAACCAAAACAAATGGAGAAAGGCAATAAAGGCAATATGTGATGATAAAAGATTCAACCCAACAACAAAAATATTAGCTATTTTAAATAGATACACACCAACATAGGGATACCCAGATTTATAAAACAATTGCAATTTGCCCTTCGACACCCCACTGACAGCTTTAGACGGATTATTGAGACAGAAAACTAACAAAGAAATCCTGGACTTAAATTTGTCATTTGACTAGTTAGATCTAACAGACATTTTCAGAACACTTCACCCAGTAACCCACAAAAATGTACATTTTTCTCATTCACACATGGATCAAATCCAATATCAACCACCTAATTGGTCATAAATCAACCTTAAATAAATTCCAAAAAATTGAAATCATACCAAGCATCTTTCTGACCACAGTAAAATCAAACTAGAAATCAACTCCAAAAGGAATCCTCAAAAACACATAAACACATGGTAATTTTAAAAAAGGTTACTTCTGAATGATTTTTATGTAAATAATGAAATCAAAACAGAAACTTAAAAAATTATTTGAAGTAAATGAGAATAAAGACACAACACACAAAAAACTCGGGGAGGCTGCCAGAGCGGCTAGGAGAAAATTTTATGGCACTGCACACTCACATCATGAGGGTAAAAAGATCTCAAATAAACAGTCTAATGTCTCAGCTAAGAGAACTAGGAAAACATAAACAAACTAAAACCAAAGCCAGCAGAAAAAAAAGAAATAACCAATATCAGAGCAGAAATTAACAAAACTAAGACCATAAAAACCACACAAAGGATGGAGTCCAAAAGCTGGTTCTTTGAAAGGATAAGCAGGATCAATAGACGCTGGTAAGGTTAAAAAAAGAAAAGAAAAAGAAAATTCAAATAAATACACTCAAAGACGAATAAAGCGATATTACAATAGATTCAGAAGAAATACAAACGATTATCAGAGATTATTATAAACATCAGTATGCATTCAAATTAGAAAATCTAGAGGGGATTTCTGGAAACATGCAACCTTGCAATATTGAAACAGAAAGAAATTGAAACCCTGAAAAGACCAATAATGAGCCATGAAATTGAATTAGTAATAACAAACCTACCTACCAAAAAAAAGTCCTGGACCCGATGGATTCACTGCTGAGTTCTACCAGATGTTTCACTACTGAAGCAACTAAATTATTCCAAACATTTGAGAAGGAAGGACTCCTCATTCTATGAATTCAAAAGGTGGCAAAGACACAACAGAGGAAACAACAAAAAACAAACAAATAAAAAAAACTACAGGCTGATATCCCTGATAAATATAGATGAAAAAATTCTCAGCAATATACTAACAGACCACATCCAGAAGTATATTTTAAAAATTATCTATCATGATCGGGTGGGCTTTACTCCCAGGATGCAAACTGGGTGCTCATTGACACAGCAAATTATTATAAAGCAAATGATACTTGTCAAAAGACTATATGACATTTTTGAGACATTGAGAACTCAACAGGTCAAATTTTTCAAATTCAAGGAGTCAAACAACCCTGATTAACATAACAATCGAATCTTTTAAATTTTGTTTCCATTAATCTGAAATAGCACAAATAATTTGGTGCCATGAAAAATTTGTAAATAAAATGAATTATTGGAAAAATGATGCTTACATCATGTACAAAGTTACATATTTGCAACTTTTTGCATAGAAAGATGAGTACTTAGTGCTTAGGAGAATTCCAACTTCTAGTAGGAGATAGTTTTCAAGTGATGGTTAGAAAGGATTTGTAATAAACTGCCAAGGGACAGTTGCCTTCAATAAACAGTACTATTAGAGAAGACCATTTGATAAATCCACTCACATAAAGATATCTATAATACAAAGCACTATTTTATAATGAAGCTTCTAATTTTATAAAATAGTCTGGAAGCCCCATGAGGACGTGTACTGAGGATGTCATTAGTGCTGTTATAACTTTGTTATTATTGGGGTATTATTGTATATCCACAGAGCCCACAGCAGTGCCTGATACATGGAAGATGCACACATGAGGCAACTCTTGAAAAATCTACTAAACTGACTGGATACAACAGTGCTTAATGCAAAGGAAATATTTGGTTAAAATACAACATTCAGCATCAGCAACAAAGTGGCAAAGAGATACTTTGGACGTAAGCGCTTTGTCATTCCTCAAGTTGGTTTGTACTCACGTTAATTTGTTAACCTGGAATTGATCTAATATTTTTTAATACTTTTATCACTTCATAGGTACTA